TCAGAGGGGGAGGGAGGCCCCGGGAAGGGAAGGGAAGGGGCTCAGCCAAGGCCCCCAGCGGCGGAGGGGGCGCCTCCTGTCCCTCCTCGGCTGACCCGCACCCTCGGGGGCTTCCGAGAGGCGGCAGGAGGCAGACAGCTCGGACGTGTCACCCGGAAAACCGTGCCAGCGCAGGGACAGACCCTGGTCGGCTCCGGGGACAGCTTCCTGGGTGGAGTCTGGGGCTCAGCTCAGGCGCTGGTTTTCTCATCGCAGGACCCACGCCCGAGGTCAAGGTGTGGGCGGGCCCTGCTGCCTCTCACCTCTCGGGGCGGGGAGAGCGGTGCCTGCCACTTGCCGTGTCTGGGGGCCCTTGGCTCCTGAGCCCATAGCCGGGTCCCTCCAGCTTCCGCCTGTCCCCACGCGGCCTCTCCGCGGTCCCCGTCTCCCTCCTCTGTCTCCATCCCTGGGTGCATGGCCCACCTGGGCGCCCCGGCTCAGTCCTCATCTTTAAGGCACCAGCTGCAAAGACCCCTTCCCCCAACAGGTGGCATCCAGGGTGCAGGGGTTAGGACAGGACAGGAGGCCACGGACCACCCCCTGCGCCCCTCTGTGCCCTCCGGCGCCTCCGGGGCGCCTCGTGACGAAGGAAGCTGGGGCCTGGCCGGTGTGGCTCAGCGGCTGAGCACCGACCTGTGAGCCAGGAGGTCAGGGCTCGATTCCCATCAGGGCACATGTTTCTCTCTCCCTCTCCCTCTCCCTTCCTCTCTGAAACCAATAAAGACATATTTTTAAAAAGAAAAAGAAGGAAGCTTTGTTCTCAATCACAGCCGAGGACGGGGGAGCGGCGTTCCCAGGTCACGCCAGGGGTCGAGGGAGGCGTGAGCAGAGCCTGGGTCTGACTGGGGTCTGAGGTTTGCGGTCTCACCCGCTGTGCGTGGACGTCGGGGGAGGGGGGGTGGTGTCGGCTTCAAGGCTCCCCTCTGCAGAGCGCTCCCTCTGTGCCCCTCACTCTCGGTCACATTGCCAGAGCTCCTGCCAGGGCCCAGCCACAGACCTGTCCCCGTGGGAGAGCCACCTGCAGGGCCTGGGGGGGCAGGAGTGGGGGGGACACACAAGACCTGCCAGAGAAGAGCTGGTCCCACCGGAGCCCTGGCGCCCACACGGCCTCAGGTGTCGGTTTCCTACCCTGACCCACTGGACGCGGCTGTTCCCAGGATGGGGGCCTGAACTGGGTGGGCCTCCCTCCAGCCAAGGGCAGTTTCCCCCAGGGGACAAGTACCCCCCAGGAAGGTGCTGGCTGGCCCTGCCACGGAGACAAACGCCTCACACCCCCACCAGCAGGAACACCCGGCACGGCTGCAGCCAGGATCACAGGGGCAGAGGGGACAGCGGCATCCACTGTGTTCAGTACCATATACTTTTATTGATTTCAGAGAGGAAGGGAGAGAGAGACAGAAGCCTCAACGCGAGAGAGACACATTGATCGGTTGCCTCCCACACGCACCCGAACCAGGGCCAGGGACTGAAACCACAAGGAAGGTATGTGCCCCTGACGGGAACCAAACCTGGGGCCCTTCAGTCCTGGGGCCAATGCTCTACCCACTGAGCTACACCGGCCAGGGCAGCCTGCCCCCTGAACCGTGGGGCTCTGAGAGGCCAAAGGGGAGTGGATCCAGAGGCCCATCTTTTATTTCTTTCTCTCTTTTTTTAAAGGGCCACCTTTTAAAGGAACTATTCATTCCCATAAAAACAGAGGAAGAGCCTGTCAGCGGAGAAACCTCTCTCCCAGTTTCCACCAAGACTTCCTGTTGACAGCTGCTCCAGGGAAAGTCAACCGATTCAAATACAGAAGAAAAAACTGTTAGGGAACAAACGCAGCAGCCATGCAGAGACGCCATATTGGCGCACGACAAAGAAAATTCTAACCCATAATCACAACATGAATTTAAAAAAACCTCGAAGGAAGACCAAAGGGCAGAACTACAAGAACTGGAGAAGAAATGGAGAGGCCGCCTGAGCCATGAGGGCGACCTGTGAGAACCGACAGGTCTCAGGAAGGAACCGAGAGGAAAGGACAAGTGCATTTCAGAAGTGAGGACCAAACTGCGAGAAATACAAGGGAGAGCGCACTCCGTGCGAAGTAGAGCAAGAAACTGTAGAGATTAACGTAGGAAAACTGAACGAAAACCGAGCGGCAATAGTCACGGAGATCAAAGAATTCAGAAAGAAAGACAGATCGGAGAGGCCACGATGGCGTACCTGGAGTTTCCAGAGAAGAAAACTCTTTAAAAAATATTTTTATTGATTTCAGGGAGGAAGGGAGAGGGAGAGGGAGAGGGAGGTAGAAACATCAATGATATGAAAGAAAGAGAATCATTGATTGGCTATCCCCTGCATGCCCCCTACTGGGGATCGAGCCCACAACGGATCCCCAGGTTTGATTCTGGCCAAGGGCTTGTACCTTGGTTGCAGGCACATCCCCAGTAGGGGTGTGCAGGAGGCAGCTGATCGATGTTTCACTCTCTATCCCTCTCCTTTCCTTTCTGTCAAAAATCAATTAAAAAAAAAAAGAAACATCAATGATGAGAGAGAACCACTGATCAGCTGCCTCCTGCACACCCCACACTGGGGATCAAGACCACAACCTGGGCCTGTGCCCCGACTGGGAATCAAACCCTGACCTCCTGGTTCATAGGTCAACGCTCAACCACCGGGCCAGGCCGGCCCGGCATAAGGAAGAAAACTCAACTGAACAGAAGAAATATTTAAAACTGGAACGCAGGAGAACTTTCCTGACATGCGGAAGTCTGGTTTTATGAGGTGAAATGGGACACTATGACCCAGCGGGTGTGGCTCAGTGGCTGAGCAGCGGCCTATGAACCAGGAGGTCACGGTGTGATTTCCGGTCGGGGTACATGCTGGCATGTGGGCCCCGTCCCCGGTGGGGGGCGTGCAGGAGGCAGTCGGTCAACGATTCTCTCTCACCATTGATGTTCCTATCTGTCTCCCATCTCCCTTCCTTTCTCTCTAAAAGTCAATAAAACATATTTAAAAACCAGTATTGCTCACAGAAGAGAAGCAATAGATAGTGTCGAAAGAAAAAACTAGGAATATTATGTACACATAAATGTAATTGTAACCACTAGAACCAACATACAAGCTTTCCTGAATATCAGAAGGGCTGTAGTGTTTTTAAAAGTGAAGAAAACAGACCGCACTGGAAAGAAGAATACAACCTTCCCACGTGCACGAAGATACATGTATGTACACACACCACAAGATGCCAGGAAGAAGGCCAAAGACATCTGCCATATCAATAAGTAACTCACTGATCTTTAAGGAAGTTTTTTTCGTTAAGATCCCAAGCAAAACCCAACTTGATCCTGCATTCAAGAGACAACCACCAAACCAAGCGCTTCAGAATGGTTAAAAGGAAAAGGATGAGCAAAGGCATGAAGACAAATACAGACAAAAACAGAGCGGCCCTGGCTGGGTGGCTCGTTTGGTTAGAGTGTCGTCCCCATACCCCAAGGTTGTGGGTTCGGTCCCAGGTCAGGGCACAAACAAGCATCAACCACGGAATGCACAAGAAAGTGGAGCAACAACACTTGATGTGTCTCTCTCTCTTCCTCTTTCTCAAAATCAATTTTAAAACATTTTTTTAAAACATCTAGGGCCGTAATCTTAATGTCAGACAATGAGAATTCAAACCAAACATCACCCAGGGAGCCAAAGAAGGGCCATTGATAATGCCAAATGGTACAACTGGCAAGGCACCTAACAACAGGGCAGCCATGTTCAGGAAGATGTGGCGGGGTTCTAGGACAGACAGACAAAACGCGCTCGTAAGAGATTTCAATTCGCCTCTCAGCCCAAGGAACGGAAAGAAGATCAAACATCAATATGAGTTCAAAAGGCCTCAATAAAACCATCATTCAAGTACAACCACATATCAAACTCTCTATGCTAATAATAGATGATGCACTTTTTAAGAACCGATAGGGCATTCATGAAAACTGAAAAACTCAAGAACATCCAAAAGTACAAAAAAGACAGATTATTTTATGACCACAAGGTCATAAATGCCTGGAAATTAATTTAAAAGTCCAGAAACTGGGGGGCGGGGGGGTGGGGGGGGAGACAACAACCTCTCTTGAACAATTCTTAAATCAAAAGGGAAATACAAACTGAATTTGCAGGATTTCCATAAAATAATGACAATCAAAACAGCATGACTCTTATTCTACGGGACAGAGCTGCAGCAGTCAGGTAAGTGTTTATAGTCCCCAGTACATGTAATAATTACCACAGAACAGGTAAAAACATTAGAAAAAGAATCATAAAATGAACAGAAAGAATGAGGGAAGAATTGCTGGGGTCCAACCCCAGCAGGTCCAGGGGTCCCCAAAGGTGTGGACGGAGTCGGCGAAGACTATCCACCCTCTTCCTACGGTGGAGTCCTATCCGTCCCGAGTGCGGGGTGCTTACCTAAGGGTCCCTGTTCGGGTGCCATATGCTGGGGTCCAACCCCACCAGGTCCAGGGGTCCCCAAAGGTGTGGACGGAGTCGGCGAAGAAGGAATGACACGGAGACAGCATTCAGTTGATCAGCAGCCTTGCCAGGATCTCTAGCCACAATCTCCAGCCAAGTACTGTGTCCATGTTCTCTTGCGGCAGTTCCAGGGAGTAAAGATTATGTAGCTTAAGCATGATTGTTCGTAGTTAAAGTGATTAATTGCCCGCCTGGCACTTAGTGAAGAGGTTTTATTCCCTCCCTAACGTCAGGGGAAAATCTCTACCTGGGGAAACAACCTTTCTCGGAGAGGTGACCTTGGTTAAAACACATAGTGCCAAGAAGGTGAGCAAATATATTAGGAACAGTATGCCATATATGCCAGGTCCCTTGAAACAGCAAGGATGGACCGGCTCCCGGCAAAGAATTAGTGACGATTAAAGCAGAAACAAATTTGAAAAACAGATAAGCCTCCTAAGAAATATGGCAAAAAGCTGGCTCTTTGGGACAAAGTTAAATAAAATATATAAACCACCATTAAACCTAATTAAAAAAACAAGGGATGGGGAGGAAAGCCACTTGGGAAAGTAGCCAAAGAGGGAGAGGAAAACACTGCAATCAGGATAGTACTTTGCAAATAAAATTTAAAACCTAAAAAAAAAACAATTTCTAGACAAATATAATAAATCAGGACTGTTCCTGGAAGAGACAGATCATCCAGACAGACCAACTTGAACATAAGAAAAATAGAATTATAAAAGAGCATTAAAACCAAAAGCGCCAGCCCTGACTGGTGTGGCTAAGTTGGCTGGGCACCCTTCCATGCACCAAGAGGCCATGGTTCTATTCCTGGTCAGGGCTCATGCCCGGGTTGCAGTCTCAATCCTCAGTAGGGGGCGTGCAGGAGGCAGCTGATCCATCTATCTTTCTCTCTCTCTCTCTTTCTCCCCCCCTACCCCTCTCGTCTTTCCCTCTCTAAAATCAATAAAAACATATTAAAAAAACAAAAGCACCAAAGCAAGATATTTTTAGAGAAAATTTCTAGCAAACTCTTAAAGGACAGAAACCTAATGTTTTTTACAGTGTTTCGCAGCAAAATACGAGAGAAAACTTCAAAAAACGTTTGAAGTATAACAGATATGGAAACCCGAAAAAGATTTCATAAGGTACCCCATTGCCCAATATCACTTATGAATATTACTGTAATAATCCTAAATAAAACACATTGAATAAAATTCAGCAGCATGTTAAAGTAATAAAATATCAAAACTGCCCTGGCTGTTTGGCTCAGTGGATAGAGCGTCAGCCTGTGGACTGAAGGGTCCCGGGTTTGATTCTGGTCAAGGGCACATGCCGGGGTTGGGGGTTCAATCCCTAGTAGGGAGCACACAGGAGGCAGCCAATCAATGATTCTCTCTCATCACTAATGCTTCTCTCCCTCCCTTCTTCTCTGCAATCAATAAAAATACATTAAAAAAAAAAGAATGCTGAAACATGGTAAATCACTAATGCTTCTCTCCCTCCCTTCTTCTCTGCAATCAATAAAAATACATTAAAAAAAAAGAATGCTGAAACATGGTAACACACACACACACACACACACACACACACAAATATAAACAAGCAGAAGCAGAAGTTGTAATGGAAGAGAAGACCCGACTGATGACAACCATCGCTACAGGACTCAGGGTTCAACTTCACAAAAGATGTTCAAAATCTGCGAGCAAACATGGAAAGTCCCCGAAAGGCACAAAATAAACTCGAACGAGTGGAACGGCAAACCACGGGTCTGGGGTGGATGACGCAGCTTCAGAAAGATGCCGCGTTTCCCTAAGCCACCGTATAAACTGCATGCGATCGAGAGTTCATGCAGAAAAGTGGGCAAGCGAGAACGTACAGGAAAAGTCTGAGAAGGGGGCACAGGCGAGGAAGGACCGCCTTCTAGACTGAGAATCGCCCCGGACAGCTTCCGTGATTAACACAACAGCGTCATCCAACCGCCCAATGGGCGGCGAAACCAAAGAAATCACAGCCGTCCTGCGGCACCAGCCCGGCCGGCCAGGCGGCATCGCCCATCAGTTCGGCAGGCGGAGCTTTCCACACGGACGTTGGCAACTGGGGTAGCTTCTAGTCTAGAGCAAGCATGTCAAACTCACGCATGTGGCCCACAACAAATATTTTTGCAGCCCAGCCAATATAGCGGTATGTAAGAAACGTTTTAATAAAAATGTCATAACTTAATTTTTACAGTATCCTGTTGTATATAATTATCAATAACGAACTACAACATTCGCCAATGACTGATTAATCGTGTCGCATTCATTTCTCTTACACGCCTTACGTGCAGGCGCACCATTTCTCTCCACTAATACCAGCAGCAAATGTTCTAGCGGCCGACGGCCACGTCATTAGTCTTGGACTGACTTTGGTGTGCACAACAGGAAACATTTCACTTTCAGAGAACAAGAAAAGTAGGTTTATTTGCGTGACGCTTATTCATTTGGGCAGTAATTCAGTGTCTGGTAAGTTCATGTTCAAGGAAAAATATTAATTTGTATTAAAACGTTCTATTATTTTATGTTAACGATGACTCACTTATTTCAGCCCTTTGTACTCAGCATGTCTCTATCAAAATAAACCTACGTTTCTATGAAAATTAAAGCTTTGTGTGTGTGTGTGTGTGGCCCACGTACACTTAAACCTTGTTTATTTGGCCTGTGTTAGCCTTTGAGTTTGTCATGCCTGTTCTAGAGGGAACAAGAACAAGTTGAGTTCTGCGGAGGGAAGGCGGGGGGGTGGGGAGGAGGTAGTCAACCGAAGACCCTGTGTGCATATAAACATAACCCGCGGACCCAGACAATGGGGTGGTGAAGACCTGGGGCGGGGTGGGCTAGAGGGGGTCAGTGGGGGAAAAAGGGGAACATATGTAGTACTTTCAGCAACGAAGATTTAAAAAAAAATTAAAACCTCCACTCATATTCCACCCCCCACCCCCCGACAAAAAAGCACAAGCCAAGTTCATACCTCAGAACACGCCCCAGGATAAAATCCCAATAAAACCCATAGAACTTTAGAACAAAAAGATGGGTGAATTCCTTTATAACCTTAGAGTTGGCAAAGATTTCTGCATTATGTGTGGAATCCAGAAGCCATGAAAGAAAACATGCATGAACTTGACTCCTTGAAAAAACAAACTTCTCCTCGTCCTGCCCCCCAAATACCAGCACGGAAGTCAAACCCCCACACCCAAAACATGACCCTCACACCCGCAAGCAGGACCGAGGATTTTTTTGTGAGCCGGAGACAGGCACACGGACACGCAGGCAGCATCGCTCACCTGCGGGCGCGGCAGAAGGCCAGAACCTTGGCACGTTCTCCCCGCGGGGAGGGAGCCGGGCCTCACACGGCTGGTGGGCAGCTCGGTGCCGCTCCGGCGGCCAGGGCACGGGAGCCCCACCGATCAAAGTTACCCGCAGTCGCCCTTCATCACGCAATCCTGCTCTGTGACCTTAGCCGACAGAGGAGTGATGTTTGTCCAGGTCACAGATCTGTTTGCAATTGCCAGCGATTAGAAACTGCCTCAAGGTCTTTCCTGAGGGGACTGACTAAATACACAGTGACACACGGACAGCCCGGGACACAGTGTCAGCTGGCAGGGACCAAGGCTGCTCTTAGTCCCACGTGGCGAGCACAGGCCCCAGCACACGCACGCGTGCACACACACTCACTTTGTGCATTCTCACCTAAGGATGTTTTCCTATTGGTTTTTAGAGAAAGTGAGAGGGAGAGGGAGAGGGAGGGAGAGAGAAACATCGATGTGAGACAGACACATCGATTGGTTGCCTCTTGCACATGCTCTGACCAGGGCCGGGGATTGAGCCTGCCACTGAGGTACGTGCCCTTGACCAGAATCGAACCCAAGACCGTTCAGTTCATGGGCCGACGCTCTAGCCACTGAGCCAAACCTAGAGCGCACATACGTATTTTCTAAATGAATAAGGACATGACCCCGAAACTGCCCCCAAAGCCAGGATCCACTGTGGCCACGGACCCGGGGGAGGCCTTTGGCAACCTGGATACCGTGAGCGACGCAGGTCACAGCTGTGTCACTGGCTTGTCCTGCCTCACGGTCTGAGGCTACAAATACAGCCGCCGCCTGGGACTCTTCCTACGAAAGCACCTGCGGACTCACCGGCCCCAAGAGAGAAAGGTGACCTTCCCGCCTTCCCAGGCTGCACAGGCAGGGACAGGAGGCAAGACAGCACCCAGGTCCGCCCACCAGAGCTCAGACCCTCCTCCCTCCCCCGAGGCCATGCCCTCCCCTGCTCACTCCAGCTCTGGCCCGGAGGCTGGACTGCCGGTCCGCTGCCTGGGGTGGGCGTCTCGGGGTCAGCAGGACATCACCCTCCCTGAGCTTCAGGGAGCAGTAGGTCACGGGGAGCCCGGACTCCCACTGCTTGCTCCGGGCATGTGCAAACACACACACACACACCACACACACACACACACACACACACACACACACGCACCGGGACCTCCTGGCGTGCCAGGGTGGCCAGTGGGGCCGGGCTTCCCGGACCGGTCACTTGCTGTGCCAGATCACAGAGGCGCTCGAGCAGGGAGAACTCCAGATCAGATAAAATCGTGTTTGGCCAATGAAACGCCACGGCAGAGGCACCTGGACATTCTGGCCTGAACCAGGAGTCCCCAGTTCACTCCCCCGGGGAGCACGTTCCCAGGCTGCCTCGCCTTCTCCTGTTTTCCTGTTAGTATTAAAGCAAAGAGCAATGGGCAGCGAGAGAGGGCCGCCCCACCTCCCGCCCAAACACGCACGCACAGCACTGCCAATCGGGGGGACTCATTATATATATATTTTAAATTGTTTTCAGAGAGGGAGAGGGAAATAGAAACATTAATAATGAGAATCACTGGTTGGCGGCCTCCTGCACGCCCCCTACTGGGGACTGAGCCTGCAACCTGGGCCTGTGCCCTGACCGGAATCAAACCAGTGACCTCCTGGTTCATAGGTAGATGCTCAACCCCCGAGCCACACTGGCCAGGCTCTTTTTTTTTTTTTTTTTAATTTTTTTAATTTAAAAAAACAATTTCTTGTTTCGGTGCGGACTGCTCTATAGACGGGAATGAGCGTGTCCATGCGGCCGCCTCCTTTGTAAAGGACGCTGTGCTGACTGTTCACGGTCTCGCTCACTGGGTCTTGCCCGAGCGAGGGGCCTGGCTTCCGTCTGCCCACACTTGCTGTGCGATCTCACTCAGAGCCTGCCCCCCCACCCAACTCTGAGCTCCAGTTCTCCATCGGTGACATGCAGAACTTGGAAAGGACAGTGCCCACAGACTCCTCTAGGAAGACTTTCCGGACCTGTCTCTGGCCCCGGCTCTGTCCACCCCGCCAGAGCCCGTCACCACTGGCATCTTTGGACAGGGCACCTCCGGGCCACCTGCCCCGGGGCCAGGCGAACAGCACAGACAGATGACGAGGCCAGGGGGACGGTCACGCACGGATACGAGCATCCTTGCTCAACCTGATGTAAAACATCATCTTGGGGGGCGGGGGGGAGATCAACCAAAGGACTTGTATGCATGCATACAAGCATAACCAATGGACACAAGACACTGGGGGGTAGGGGAGGCCGGGGGAAGGTCAAGGGGGGAAAAAGGAGACATTTGTAATACTTTAAGCAATAAAACAAAATTAAAAAACAAAAAACCCCACAACACATCATCTTGGAAAGAGATTGCTCAAGCCCTTGGCATCACTCCCAGCACCTCGATCATTCACGCAGCAAATGCTTGACCACCTACTATGTGCCAGGCCCCACACCAAGTGGACAAATGGAAATACACACAGCAGTGAACAAATCGGACAGGGTCTTTGGCTTCGTTCACGGAGCTGACATTGTAGTGGGGGAACAAGAACAAGTGAAGAAATCTCTCAGGTGGTGAGACAAGCTACAGAGAAAAAGGCAGCAGGGAAACTGGGCTGGGAGGACTGTGGGCGGGAGTGAAGGGGGCTTTATACAGAACGGTTAGGGATAGTCTCTCTGAGAAGCTGACATTTGTGCAAACCTTGGGGGTGCCTGGGGGGAAGTGCAAAGGCCCTGGGGCCATGTGCCCAGAAGGTGTTGATGGAACATCAGGGTGAGCAAGGCAGAGAAGGGGGATACCAGGAGAGGAGGGCAGAGAGATAACAGGAAGCTGGGTCTTGGGGGCCCTGGGGCCACTGGAAGGACTTGCCTCTCTGATTGGGAGGAGGTGCCGCTGGGAGACCCTGAGGAGGAAAGGCTATAGTGCGATTTAGATCTTAGAGATCTTTCCTGCCTGGCTGCCATTTGAGACTCGACCACAGAGGACATGTGGCAACAAGAAAGCAGTCACGAGGCCACTGTGATAAACCAGGAGAGCGAGGTGCAGGGCAGGGGGGCAGAGGGAGGGCCTCTCATCACACAGACGCCCCCCCACACCCCTCCCTCTCCGCCAGCCCACGGCTTCCTGACCAGCCGCGCTGACCTCTGCTCTGCTGCTCAAACCAGGCTCTGGGGATTCCAGGTTTTTGCAATAAGCTCCTCCCTCTTCCCAAAATACCCCCCCGCCCCCACCCTGGCCCCCTGCCCAGGACCATCCAACCACAGTCCAGAGGAAGAGCTCGCCATCGGCCAAAACCAAAGCAGGCACCCCGGCCCACCACGCCGCTAGCACTGCAGCCCCACTTTACAAATGAGAAGACGAAGGTGCAGAGGAAGGGGACCGTCTCAAGGCTAATCTGTGAGAGGCAGGGTTGTCTGCTCCCAAGCCTCAGACCCTCCTTCTCCAGGAGTCTCTCCTGACCTGTGTGAGCAGAGCAGCCACCTCCAGGAAGCCACCTGGATTGCAGCACAGCTCCCACCAAGGCTGTGGACTGGGCACATGCCTGGGTTGCAGGCCGTGCAGGAGGCAGCCCATCGATGATTCTCTCTCATCACTGATGTTTCTATCTTTCTCTCCCTTCCCTTCCTCTCTGAGATCAATAAAAATATATATTTTTTAAAATGAGTGGGTGAGTGAGCAGCCCGACCCCTAAACCCTGAGCCTTACCCACAGCCTAGACCAGGGGGCAGACCCTCGAAGCCGCTGGGTGGGTCCTGAGGGAGTGACCAGGGTGAACCTGGCCTTGGAGTGAACTGGCAGCAGAGGAAAGCGGCCGCTGAGCCGGATGCTGCCCACCCAGCCGCAGACTAAATGACGCTGACCCGGGGAGGGCCTGGCACACGGTGGGTACCCATGCCCGAGCGAGGGGGGGATAAAGGAAAACCGTCCTGACACGCTCAGTGCCTCTGACAGTGACGGCAAAACCGTGAAAGGAAAACCAGCTCTGCTCCCGGCTCAGGGCCACCAGCTTCTAGGAATTCTCCGCGTCTGCAACGAGCAGTGTCCCCTTCTCTGGGTCCCTCCCTCCGCCCAGCTGCCTCCCAACCATAATAGGTAAGAAGAGCTGCCATTTGCCAAGAATCCACTAAAATGTGATGACGGTTTTCCTCCTGGCTGTGAGGATAATGGGCGGCTTTCGCTCTGTCCTCAGACCTTCGAGTCTTGTCTGTATTTGCACAACGTGACTACCCCAACTTTTAGCACAGCCAGTGGGGCTGCCTGTGCCCGGTCTTAATAGAGAGGTGCGTGCGAGTGTGGGGGGTCCAGGCACCGCCCTGCGTGACACCTCCTGCCTCGCTCTTTATCTTGAAGGCACTGGAGCCACGGAGACTGGAGGGAGGGCATGTGACAGCCCGTCTTCCTGTGGACTTGGTTGTAGTCTCTCTGGCTCTTTCTCGATGCCTGACACGGAGCCGCGCTCACCCAGAGCCCACACAGGTGACCCACAAAAGGCGACCCGGTACACGTGCCTTCTACACCTTGTTTATGTTTCATTTAACAAGATGCTGGCGCCCTGGCCGGTTTGGCTCAGTGGATAGAGCGTTGGCCTATGGACTGAAGGGTCCCGGGTTCCATTCTGGTCAAGGGCACGTACCTCAGTTGCAGGCTCCTCCCCGGCCCGGGCCCTGGTTGGGGCTCGTGCAGGAAGCAACCCATCCATGTGTTTCTCTCTCATCGATGTTTCTCTCTGGCTCTCCCTCTCCCTTCCACTCTCTCAAAATTAATGGAAACGTATCAGGTTGGGATTAACAACAACAACAAAACATCCAGTTCTCTCCAGTCTCGGGTGCCCCATCCTCTCGCCCGGGGAGGAGGCAGGTGGTCAAGTTAACACACACGGAAATCTCCCCGGAAGGTGAGGAGCTGCTGATCCAACAACACTGTGTTCCTAAGGGCTTATGGCACCGCCACCGGTCAACCTGGTTTTCATGCAAAACTGTGCTTAATTGTCCCAACTGCTCCGAGGAAACCAAGGCACCGCTGGGATTCGAACCCCCTTTGCAGGTAAGAGGAGTCTGCCTGTGCCCCAGCCCGTTCACCTGGGACCGCCCGGGGGCTGGGGGCCAAGTCTCACTGTGACAAAGGGCGCTCGACTCCAAGCCTCAGCTTTCTCATCCATGGAATGGGAGTGACA